GAGAGTTTCATCTTTGTGGATAGAATCTCCACAATTTTATTCAAATATGAAATAACATCTGTTGTGTCACTTCTGTCTCAGGCAAACTACTCTGCACCGGTGGTGGCTGTGCGCTTTGCATTAACGCAGTACGATGCTCACATCCAAGTACAATGCAAACTGAATGGAAAGGGCATCATCAACGACTCACCCACTGACCGCTCCCTGGGCAGTGTGACCTTCTCCTTGGATGTCGGAGCGTAAAGCAAAGATATCGCTGCCAGCAGGATGCTCCCGTGACAACGAGGCAGGAAAATATACAAGAAAAAATTACGAGTAATGAACCATTATTTTCCATGAAATATGTAATCTCCCTCTCCTCATCTTTTACTTAAATATCCACACCTTTTGCTGTGAAAGAAATTCCTCAAGAAGTCGATATTTCCTCTTGTGTTTCTGTCGTATCTTTGTACCCTGAGCGTGCTCCTGGCACCCACAACAAACATCGCTGAGCACAGGACAAGTGTCATAGACTGAGTTACAATTCCTGATACTTTGTAATGATTAGCAAGATTAATCAAACTAAATTACACTCTGCCCAATAGTTAGCATTGATGGCTATGCAAATCCAATTATGACTTAAAACATTACTAGACGTTTAGAACTATTGGTGTATCAGGTTAGATCATGGTTTTGTGAGCACAGTTTTGTGAGACAATGTGTACTAATTTGTTTTGAATTATATTTTTCAAACATGTATATTGTAAGAATTATCTATCATGCAAACACTGAAAGCAGGACTTGTACTGTACTTACACAGTAAAAAAAAAAGACATAGTAAATGACTGCAAATACACTATTACTATATTTTTGTTGAATAGAGCAGTAATATACATTTATGATAAAGCATCACAAGCCACTTCTTGCCTTCTTTTGTAAAAACATTTGCTTTTGAAAATGAAATACTACACAAGACTGATCAATAAAGAGACATACTGTACTGTGAAATAGTTTGCGAAAGGTCTGTACCATTTAAAAAAATAACTGTTTTATGATAGTATTAATCTCTGTCTGAACTTTGCTACTAAACATGGTATCAATGTTGTATTTATTCCTATTATAGTTCTTATAATAAATACAATATTCTGGTATGTCCTGTTTTCTTCCACATCTTCTTTTACAACGCTTGTAACACATCTCAACTCTTTCACTTTCAGTAAAACTCTACAAATAGTATAATTTAGTAATGGTTGCTGTTACACTTTACATTCTTTTGGAGGTAAATAAATGTGAAAATCCACAGTCGTTGACCAATTTTATAACCTTGAACTGATGACATGCTTCATAAGTCTGCTACAGAAAATTACACATTAGGAATTGCATACAATATGGTTAAATACAATGTATTTGTATCGTATTGTGTTTCTGTTACTGGAGTTTAAGTGTTTATTTATGAGAGGTCTAACAAACTACTTTAGGCCTAACAAAGGGAACATATAGCTCATGTCTCTCCCATAACTTATACAACATGAAATATATCCTCACTGGTTGTAAAAAAAAAAAAAAAAGAGCAAAGAATCTACAGCCATGAGAAAACGGTCTTGCCTGCAAATTTGAGGGCATAGGTTTCAAGAAGTAAAACATCAGTAAGCTTTAAGCTGTAGGTGGGTGATTTCAACATATTGACCTAAGGAAATGTACATTTAACATTTGACGTCGGGGAAAACATCGTTGAGAACATAAAACCCTTTTCGAAGGTCTGCTGAATGTGTCATAAGAGGATATTGGGGTGCGGGATACAAGTTCTTGAGACGTTTCACTCAAAACCTCACGTGAAGCTCATGGGGAACATGAGTATTTGTATTACATTTAGTACCAAACCATTCGACAGTTGTTGAGATATTTCAGTCCGGACCAAAGTGGTGGATCAACCAACAAACCCACATTGTGCTCAACTCTGTATTTACTTCAGAAGTGCAGGCAAAGAAAAGGGTTACGACACTTCAAAACCTTTCTAACATGAGTTTTATGACAAGAAATGTGAAAAATATTTCAAGGACACCAAACTAAGGAAGGAAAGCAAAATGTAACAAAACACAGATTTACTGTTCATACTAGACTTGAGCCTTCATCCACTGGTGTGACCTCTGTGTAAAACTGCTTAACTGCCTGAATGCCAGTAATAGCTGGAGTGAGAGTCATGCCCCTGGTTGTAAAAAGCACGCTGTTGATCAAAGTTGAACAGACGTTTAGAGCAATCACAGCAGTTCCCTCAGCCAAGTGAGTGTTTAGTTTAGAGCCGTTAACCTTTGAATTCAGCTTTGTCACAAGACCCACAAGCTTCTGGCAACTTTGCACTAAAAGCAGAGCCGTTAAAAGAATGACAGTGATGCAAAACAAGAACGAAACTTTATTTAATTTGTTCCCCACTTGTGTTAAACAAGCTCATCATATCACATTCTTCCACAGATGGAGACAAGCTTCAAGCGAGCAACTCAGAGGTGCACAAAACCAAGGCACGAAACTGTCGGAGGGGAGCGATTGAATAAATAGGACCGAGGGTCGTGGAAATGAAATGTTGTGACTTAAATATTACCGTCGATGTTACTGTACTATCGCATGAAGGGTAGTACAGGAAGAAATGTACATGCAACCAAATTTGATCCTGGTGGCAGAATTGTTAACCTTTTTGAGATCGCAAGGGAACAACACTATCATTGATTCACCAAATACTCAAATGTAAATCTTTTAAGAGAAGTGTACATTTCAAGAAAAATAAATCTTCCTAATGCCGGTGACAGAAACATGAAACAATACACATTCCCCACAAAAAACAAAAACAAACTGGTCCCAATGCTGGTAAAGTGTCGTAGTTAGTGTCCCTTTCATCAAACTACAATTCACTGACTATTTGTGCAAAAGGGAGCGATTCCTTTAGGCGTTCATTTATTTTACATGAAGGTTAATACAACGCAAGAAGAGCGGCATCTGGGATGCAAATGACAACAGTGGAGCTTGCTTGTTACATTCACGTCATCAAAAATCAATGTCATTCATTCTATACAAGAGAGTAATTTACACATATACTATTATACAGCACAGAGAGCGAGAGGGGAAAAGGCCTCTCTGGGGCGGGAGGAGGTGGGCGGCTACTCGCAGCCATAAATTTAATTTTCAAAACATGCAGTCGACAATCAAACGATGCAATATTGATCATAAATGTTTTGGTACTTGATTTAGTTATTGGCATTGAAGCAAAAAACAAAAGAAACCGCTGGCAGGGGTGGGATCAATTTTAAACTGTGTACGAGAAATAAGCTAAAGGTTATTTTTAGGCAAACAGAAATTAGCAGGAAATTTGGGATGCTTTCGATGCACTGACGGGCAGGGAAGGTTGTTTTTTTTAAAGAGCTGTGAGGGTTGAAAAGGGTGCGAGAGGCAGAAGCAGCTGGGTTGGATTATACGGACTGGTAGCCAGTACGACTCTTCCTCCGACCAATCAGGTAAGAGATAAGCACAAGGATGATTAGGAAGCTGAGCGCCACGCCCACCGCAATGGGCACCAAAAAGCTCAAATCAGAGTCCAGGTAGCATTCCTCAGCTGACAGACCCACAGAAACAGAAACAGAGAGGAGACAGACAGCAGGTTAGTGGTTTTAGTCAGCTGGAACAATATTACTTAAAGAGAAGGATTTGGGATGTTTACAGTCCACAAAGAGTTGGAGAGAAAAGAGGCAGAGCAGCAAGAACAGAGATCAGAACCTACAGAAAGTTTAAGACCAGAGGAAAGGGTGATGAAGTATTCCAAAGGTACAACAAGGAAATCACTCAAGATGTTATTACTTATTGGTGTTTGTGAACATTAATGTCATGCAGGACGAGCAAAGGAAATTCTTAAAGAAATAGTCAAGACTGGGAAATGTGCAAAAAGTCAATTAAAAAGAAAATGTCTGCAGCATCTCAAACACCCCAAAAGTATTCTTTATATTATCACTTTGATCCATTCAGTCAAATAACAATTGAAAAGTCTAGAAGAGCGGTTTCATTAAATTAAGTATGAAGTATGTAAGTGTGAAACAAATAGGTTATATCATGTTCATCTATGAGCTTTAGGCTAGCTGTGTCCACCCATTTCAAGTCGTTTTGCTAAGCTAAGCTAACTGGCTACAGCTTCATATCCAAGAAGAGTGGTTTCAATTTTTGTCATCCAACTCTTGCAAATTTCCCAAAATATCGAATTATCGCCGTTTACGAAAACAGTCTGCACTAAACACTACATGGAAATGTCAATACAACACATTGATAATTTTTAGTCAAAATATAGCAATTCACTGACTATCCTTTGAAGAGCGTTAAGATCTAAACGAGGAAAGGTTAATTATAAAGTCTCGTAGCTGGATGCCATGTTTCTCTTTCTCCCGATGAAGTAGGCCAGCAGAACGATAAGAATGAGAACAAGCAGGGCAACTCCCACAGCTATGGGAACAATGAAGTTCTCCGCATCGGCCTGGCAATCCTCAGCTAGATGGGGGTGAAGAGAGCAAAGAGGTGAATGTCTTAGGAAAGAAGCGTTAAAGTAAATATTATCACTAGTTGAGGCATGAACGGCTGAAAGAAAGGCGTAGCCCGCTAACTGACTTTAAGAAGTATTGAAAGCAGCAACAGTTTTGAAAAAGAATAAATGTTTACTCGGGTGTCCAGGGCAGAAACACATTTTTATTTCCATGAATCTTAAAAGGCTAAAAAGCTCCAGTTTGTCACACACTTTGAAATCGAATCTATTATAGCGAACAGCGTGAGCGAATGGAGATGAAATCCTTTCTATCCACATAACAGACATATTAATTTATCGTTATCACGATTGGTCTTGCGGCACAAATTCCCTTTACTGAACACGTGTGTGCAATGTTCTCAAATAATGAAGGAAAACCAACCAGAAAAGGGTTCTTAGCCGTAAAAGCGAGCTATTGAATGAACAAACGAGACATTTATCATTAAGCAAGGCACAGCTGTCATGATGATAAACCTGTTAAGATGATTTATTGAGAACAAAGGAGATTAAGGTTGAGAAACACAAACGTCTACACCAGTGCTGCAAAAACCCATCTTTATAATGAAGGCAACCGAGTTTGTACAAAGCTGAAATAAACAAGACGGCAACAATTATAAGCAAAAATCAAAGCCCATATTTGATTTGGAGCTATTTATCAACACATGTGAAATGTAACTGCGAAAGCCAATTCTTTAAGCAACTTATTTCAAAATGCAACTCTCTCTACTCATATTCAGTGCAGTTTGCTGCCTGCTTTGCTCCAGTCTTGAATAGTTGGAACAAGGATAACAGTACACAACACTAATTAAGCAACAATACACAGCAACTACCATGTGTAACATTGGTTGACAGAAATACACATTCTGGGGCTTGACTCCATCCCTGATACAAGCTGCACTATTTCCCTGACCTAAAAGCTCCCGTGAAAACCTGCATTCAGCTTCTTGCTACATGAAAACAATGTTGTCTGTTTCACAGGATAGATTGTTTTTTTTTTTTTTAAGCAATTTTGGAATCAAAATATGACGACGGGTTTTGGGATCGTTTGTTCTTTGCCAGCACTGTTGAACAAACACACCCAGAAGAGGAGCATTTTAAAAAGGAGTGCTTTTTGTGCTTTCTTTCTGAGAGTTAGATGAGAAGATCAAACCAACATGATAGCACATGCTAAGTGAGTGTCAGAGGTGCTGGAAGGCGCCCGACGCCATGTTTCGTTTGGACAGAGTGTTTCCTCAACTGTCTCCTGGCTGAAGCTTCATATCCAACACAATATTCAGATCAAACTCTCAGCAAGAAAGCAAATAACTGTTTACAAAATGTCAAACTATAAATACTGAAGGACATTATTCTATATTTTCTTGTTCATTTGTGTTTATACAATATTTTCAGGGGCTTTAACGTCCCCTGGTCCAGCTGCAGGCCAAGCCCACACCGACACACAGGTGAGATAATGTGACAACAGTCTCAACATAATGCAGACATTTAAAGAGCGTCTTAGTGCATTCACATGTAAATGTCCTCAGAAAAGAGAATATCTACACAACAGAACTCTCCCTTTTCTAAACCTAATGCCAAAATCGGTTGTGTGAGAAAAAGAACAGTTGATGTTTCTTGTCTGGTTTATTCTCTGCGTGTGCAAAAGTAAAAGACCTTTAAAAATAGCAGACATTTTGACATCGTACAGCAGGAGAAGGCACAGGTGTGATTGATGACGCTAACGAGGATTTGTCCGTTCCAGAACAGTTACACCTAAATGTAAACGAGACATCGTTAGCGTCATTAGTTCCACCTGGACTTACTGCTGGACACCGAAATGTCCTCCATCAGTAAAGGTCTATTTATGTTTAAACAACACTTTGATGCCACATTCTTAATAGGATTTGAGCCTCATAATCAGGCCAATGGTTCCAATGTTTCTCCTGCTCTACAGGGGCACACATCGGCTAAAGCACATTTCCCTCGACTACTTTCCGAGTGGAATAGACCTTCATCCTTGTCAATGACTTTCTGGGAAGAACGAAAGAAAGCTGAAAGGCTCCTGAAAATTATTTTTCTTTTATAAGGTAAATAATTATGTGGATGAACAGTCAAACCATAATGAAATGAAAAACGAAAATGTGCACAAAGATGAAACAAGTGGAAACAAAAAGGGAATGTCGGCAGAGCAAGTGCAGGATCCTTCAGCAACCGATTTAAATTGCTACACATCTCCTGCTAAAAACTAATGTCCAGAGGCATTTATACATGTAAGAGTGTACCTTACATGTAAAGAACCTCTATATATTGTATATTGAGTCACCTTTCATGTGATTATGATCACAGAAATTAAAAAAAAAAAAAGGTTGTGTGGATGTTGCACTTGCTTGCTCATTAACAAAAAAAAAAAAAACAATGAAAAAAGGAAGACAAGACATCCAGAAAACAACAAAAAAAGAAACAAACATTGGGGGTAGACAAGTTTGGTCCTTGACAAAAACACCAACCCTCCATCTTTACTCCTTATTATAGTATCATTAAAAACCTTTGAGGCAACTGCAATTCAAAAAATGCTCCTTGTGCATTTCATGTCTCATAATGACCAGTAACTTCAATAATGCATCTCATGTTTGTTTTTTTTGAGACTTTAGTTTAGATTTTGGCTCTTGATGATGTTTGTCAAGTTATTTGCCAATTAAATAATTGCACATGAAACCCAAGGACCAGGCTTGGGAACCCCCCCCCGATATTGATTGCAAACTGGATTTAAAGGGTCTGATATCCAACATAAGTCTTTCTTCGACCAATCACGTAAGCAATCACTACAATGAGAATCAAGCCAGCCAGTGCAGCGCCAACAACGATTGGGATTAAGATGCTGGTGTCATCCAGTGAACATTCATGGGCTGCAGATAAAAAGAGAGTTATGTCAACAGGGGAACAGTGATTTTCTGATTAACAACAGCAGGACAGCAGATGATTTGCCACCAGCTGTGCCAAAACACTTAATTTTTGTCTTGTAACACTGTGCTCATTTGAATGGAAATCTTTGGCATGATGGATGATGGTAGATGCACTTCATATCAACGAAGACATGCTGCAGGAGGTCATTTGTGCATGAATTTGGGAGTGATCATGAAGATGTACAGTAGCCTGGGATGGACTTGATTAGAAATAGGATTGTCTCTTATTAGGATTTAAACCAGTGGTTAAAACACTCAGGACTCCTTAAGGAGACCCAAGCAAAAAATCTGAAGGGGGTCACAAAATGATGTCCATTTTTTTCTAATTCTGAAAGACTATATACTTTCGCAAGCCCAACAAGTTGAGATTAGGGGTGTCACGATTCTCCTGTCTGTTGTTTCTCCGTCATCAGCCAGTGGCCGTGGTGTCTCAAAATGTGCAGATGCAGGCTACTGCTAAGCTACGCTGTCTTTGAAGTGTTGATGATTTTAATGAACTCAATTCAATCGATTGCTGATTTAGAATCCTCGTTGAGGACCACTAATTTTAAACGTTTATAATTAAAACATGTTCCCTTGGTTGTTAGGATAACTAGGTATTATGAAGGCTGGGTGGCAACAGTCTGTGACTTATTTTTTAGCTCCAAAACAGAATCATGTCAGTGCTGTCGATCACTGTAAAATTGTACATTTTAAAAAGTGATTGTCAATTGTGGTAACTTACAATCTTATCAAATAAACACTTGTTTATACTGTTAAATAGACTATAAAATGTAATACATATCTTAAACTTGTGACCTTAAATGTTTTGTGTCCTTTGGGAAAATTGCATTAAAAACATTGTTTGATCATATTATCAGACAAGAAATAAACTTTTAACTAAGTAATACTGTCGGTACCAATTTTTAAATACCACCCAGCCTTAGTGCTGGAACAAAACAACAATATAATCCATGTTGTTGCTTCAAACACAGCAAAGACCATCTTGCTCGTTACAGCCTCAACAGTCATCAGCCACCAGACTCTACACATGAAACACTTTGGTGCGGGTCTGTTTTAAGAGAGATTAAAGAATAACCTACCTGTACTGAAAACACCCTTATTGACTCCGAAAGGCTGAACGTGAAGATCGAAGGTGTAGAGGGTGAGCAGGCGGGTGATGGTGTCGTTCTGCTCCTTGTTGCACATGTAGGAGCTGCCGACAGCCGCCTCCCACAGACTCAGGTTGGTGTTCACTTCAGAAAACGCCACACCTTGAAAGAAACACACGGATAAAAAAAGAACAAAACTCAACATTAGCTTGCTCCTCAGTGTGGTTCCGGGTCTTTGTGGTAGATATGATTCTACTAAATTACCAGAGCTCGTCTTTCCGGTGATGTTGAGAGCATGGAGGTGGAATTTCTTTGTGTCCTGTCAGACGGAAAAAAAGAAATAGAAAAACTGCATCAAAATAACATAAATTGGTGTGAAGCTGATCTTAGTGTATTTGTCATAACCAGTGACCGTTCAACTGCCTGAAATATTGTCAAAATATAGAAACTTCCAGGTTATAATCCTTTAAACACTGAGAAAACTTGACGAGGGAGGTTCATCAAACTTACATGAGCGAAAGTGAGCGTGATCGTCATTGCGTTGGACGTCAACACCAGCTGACTGCTGTTGACTCCGCATGAGCCAGAGCTTGTTGTCCCATTGGGCTCAAAGTTCATCTTGGGACATTAAAAAGGAAGAGAAGGGAATAAAATCGTCAACAGTACTATGGAAGATCATTCGTTTATAATCTGTAAAACAAGATTGCAACATTACAGGACTGCGTTTATGAACATACCTCTACGCTGTTGACACTGATCCGCAGCCCAAAGTTGGCCATCAGGCAGACTGTGCTGTTTTCATCAGGCTTGATGCTGTACTCTCCAGTGGTGGGCGTGGGGAGGGTGGGGGTCGGGGTCGGGGTGGTGGTAGGCGGAGGGGCAGTGGAAGAGTTTGTGACAGGAGCCGCAGGGGTAGTCGTGGTGGGATGAGTGGTGGGAGCAACAGGGGTTGAGGGTACGTCAGCAGCACAAGAAGTAACTGTGGGAGAGAATAGACGATGAATGTAGAGAGAACAGGCGAGATGTATTACAGGCCGGATGAGATGTGACGCTGCATCTGCACTTACTGTTTTCACTTCTGGTGTTGTTAATGACAAAAGCCTGTATGAGCACGTTCCACAGCGTCTGATTGACTGACTCAGCCTCAATCGTGTCTTTACTCTTGCATGAGTAGCAGGTGTCCATGCTGACAGCGGCGATCTGAGGCTTCACATTGACAGTTAAGGTGTCTGAAATAAATTCCAAAACACGTCAGCACCAGTAAAAGGCCTTTCATCAATGTGTGTGTTTTTTTGTTTGCGGTGTAGAAGTTACCATTAACTACAGATTTGGGGAAGACGACTGTGTCACTGAGGTTGTAGGAAAAGGTGATGGTGTCAGCCTGGTACGTTTTTCCTTTGATGGTAAAGTTCACACTCCAGGAGTGTCCTTCGCCAAAATTGAGCTTCAACGTTGAGCTTGTGTTATCACATGCACTTCCATCTGTTGTGACATTACCAGGAAGTTCAAACATCGCTGTTTCACTCTAAAAGAGAGCAGAGTGTAACCTTATTAAACGTCATTATACAAGTATGATGTAAAACTGTTAAAAAGTTAATTTCACATTTGTAAACATGGCACTAACTTTATTCTAATAGGACTGATATGACAGATCCATTACTTATAAGCACAGGCGAGAACATTTCAATGCATTTCTGTGAGCTGCTCTCTATAGCACAATTCAAAGGACATAATCGCAGGATATGGATCAGGAAAACTCACTAACTGAAATGCTGAATAGCAAGAATATATTTGCTTTGTAGGGACTCCACTCCCCTCATTTCCCCTTTCCATGACATTTGCTTCCACGTGAGTTGTCAGATAGTCACGCTGTTGAGGCTGATAAGAAGGGAGCTGCTTTGCTAGGTTGTTAAACTAATAGCCTGATGTAATACATATAACAAACAGTCGGTCATAGTAGAGCTTATTGTGACTAAGATCGGACACTCACCTTCTTGTCAGCTACATCATAGGAGACTGAGAAGTTGACCATTAGATTGCCATAGAGGCATAAATTGTTGTCTTTGTCTTTGACAGTCACCTCAGTGCCGTGTGACAGCTGGAATGCTGAAAGGAAAAAGTGAAATGACTCTATTATCCTTATTTTAATTAATTATTAGTCCAGTTGGAAATGAATAGGTTCCTTTCTTCACAAAAAAATATATATTTTTAATTCAATGTTAAAAAAAACCTAGTTCCAGGCTGTAAAATGCCTAGGAATATAATTGTTTACCTGTCAGATAAGTGTATTTATGAGCCATTTCTGACGTACACAACAATTACATGACCCCAGGTTCACTGAATTGGACAACATGAGAACACTTCCGTAATATTCTAAATGAAATAAAAATTCAGCCATATCTGCAACAAAGCCCTGTACCTTTCTACAGGCTTTGATAAATTGTTTAGTATTAACAGAAGCAAGGCCAAGGTCCATTCAGATTTACAATACATGGTTTGTCATCAACTCAACAATAGCTGGCTGCTATAATGCCATTTACATTTATAAAGAAACAAAATGGATTATGTGATACAATAAAACATTTGCATTGAAAACATAACTGAAAGCCTTCACAAGGTTACAGAACCTTATGTGTCACACCATGTATCTGTCAGCATTTGAGAATAATAGAGATATCGAGGAAAACAACAGAACTATAAGCAAAATATAACATTTTGTCAGTTAGCACATCGGATCAAGTAGCTAGCATAAATGTAACATTAGCTAGCATCAACAGAAGAATTCAGAGTGGATTCCTCATTTAAAACGTTCATCTGAAACAAAAAAATTGCTCTTGTTTAAAGTGATGGCGGTTATTGTCCGTTGCTTTGGATTCTTAATGTATTCATTTTGTGAAACTAACGTCGTATAGCTCTTAATTAGCTTAGGCTAGCTAGTCTGCTAACTAGCTACGTCACAGAACGCTAGCTTAACACCAACGTTTATTATATATTCTGGTTGTACGGTCACGTGCTAACAGGTGCTAACTAACTGTAAGCTGCCAACCGTAGCTAACGTTAATGCTTAATCTTAAAAGTAAACAAATTGTTAATGCGTTTTATTATTATGACAACTGGATTTTAGTTGTCGTTTTTACTCTTAACCGTGGTGTGTTTGTGGCTAACGTTATTTAGCCGCAGACATGACTCAGATGGTTTTATCATTAACTCAAACTGGAGTTTAAAAACAAGTGTTACGCTGACATTTATGCTACGGCTAAAATGGCTAACATCAACTGGCCAATAGTAATAAGGAAGTATAACCTCAAAGCTAGCTTTAGTTTGCATAGTTATACGTTGGCATGCAAGATAAATAGCAAATGGAGGGAAATGTAGCTTCTTGAGCTGCATACGGTGATTTAACTGAGTTATAATTTAAAGTTGATGACGTAGGTAACAATTGGTGATCAAGCTAGCTTCTTTAGCAAAACATCACGACTCGAACGAACAGCATACAACGGGTTCCTTTTAAGGCCTGTACAGTAAATTCACCCTAAAAAACCACATGTCTATAAAATTAAAGACCACAGGCAACTAAGACATATATATATATGTATGTATTTATATTCTCTCAGGGCAGCATTTAGCCTGAGCCCAAAGCACCAGGCCCGTAGTGTCCCATAAGTTTATCGGCAATCGCGTCGCTTCACAGAAACAGATTTTTTTTCTCTCTCACTTTTTACGCATTTGATTTAACGTTAAAGACAAATTGAAGGTGATGATACATACCGAATACAGAGGCGAGGAATAGAACAGATGACGCATATCGATACATGATCGCTCAATATTTTTGGAGCGTCAGCCACAGGAGAGGAGATAAATAACCCGATAGTATAGCTCAGTCAGCGGTGTTTGGTATATGGAGCTCAGCCGACTGTACCAGGAAATGGAAGTCATATGACAGGGACGGTCTCAGACCAGAAGGAGGTAGTCTCTCTTTTATGTACTTCAGTATTGGACTTCCAAGGCTCACGAGAATGTGTATGTTTAAGGGATTCCTGCTTTCATACAAGACAGTGATATATGATGAAAATCAATAATGAATAAAAGAACCCCGATTGAAACAGTTGTTTTAATCTGAAGCAATAAATCTAACAGACTCATACAAACAATGGCATGTCTAATCAATCATGTTTTCCCTCATGTGTTGAGGCAATCCTCTCCCATCACCCCCACTTTTCATCAAGGCCTGCAAGCCCCACAGGGAGACATACAAAAAAAAAAAATATAGTGTGTACGTGGTATGACACCAGGGAAGATGGGGCCTCTGATCTCATTGTGCTTTTAGAATACTTTCTAAGGGTTAACAAAAAACCTAAAAAAAAGCAGTTGACTGTCAGATGAGATCATTTGAAATGGTCACTTTTGTGAAGTATGTACAAAGACAGAACAAATGAGAAACTTAAATGCATATTCTTGTACAACTGAAGTGTTTTAGCAGCTTGAATACACCCTATAAGAAAATAAGTGCTCCTTTTTCTTTATTTTTTTTTAGCACAAACTCAGCTTTGAACGCTTTGTATGTTCATGATCACAGCTTTATCAGGCCTTAAAAATGGTAAAAACTTTGCTGCAGGTTCACACATTTGACACAGATATTCCCCAAATTGTTAATTCCCCACTATGAATGTTAGTCCAACAGTCCCACACTGGACACCGACTGCAGAAACAAGCATCGGTTTAATCTTTTGATCCTTTTTCTGTCCAACGTGTGGTACATTTAGAGCATTGTTAAGTGTGTCAGCAACAAAATGATGAAAAGTGACTTGATAACAAAGAGCATGTTGATTAAACTATGGACAAAGAAGAATCTAAGTTTGAAAATAAATATTTTTCCTCTCCATTATTAAAAAAAAAAAAAAAAAAAAAAAAGAAAAAAAAAGCAAACGGGACAACATCTGTGTGTCTTCTTTGCGAGTTCACGGTAGCCCGACTCTCTCAGAGGTACTGAGAAATATGGACAATATTTTCTTTTCAATGGGCATGCAGTCCACAGGATCACAAGACCCCTGACAGAAATCCTGTCGAGCCGTATCCATTCACTTGTCGGTCGCTGGGTTGAAGATGATAATGGTTAACATCCATTGGAGCAAAATATTTAGAGACCGATCACCTCAGCCTGAATAGACCATCTGCATCTCTTTTTCTCAGTCACTTTTTCTTTCTCTAAGCCACGTAGTTGTACTGGTTGGGGTTCTCCTTGTCACGCTCCATATAGTCCCTGTCAATGAGAGACTCTATCCTCTTCTTCAAGTCAGCAGGCTGCAAGGGAGGACAGAGAGGAGGTAGAGGTCAACACACGAGGCACATGCCGACATTTCTGGCTATTTTTATACTTTGAGGTGTGAGGTAATCGCAGTGAACAGCAGATTCATGCCATGTGACATTCACAGGGTAACTCACCAAGTCTTAACTTACTAAATGTAACTTACTAAGTCTTTCTTACACAAGCCAGTTTAGATCTTATCCCGGTAGCTTTGTCTAAAGTCAACTTTTATTCACACAGAGTACTTTCAGCTAATGGCGGCACTAACTTGTTGGCAGGAAGGTGCTTCTATGAAATATTACTCAAACAGTCTGTACTTATCGAGATTTCATGCAATATTGCAGAATGCAGATATTGACGTAGTTGTCGCTTCATAAATAACAAGAAATAGCATTATAGAAATTCCAAATATATGTCGAAGCAAATTTAGAAACAGTGTCACAGTTTCATAGTTTGTAGAGCACATAAACTGAAAAATATTTAACTTTAAGATGTTCCGCTAAGTGCATATTGTGGTCAAAATTCTTAAGGATTTTTTAGACTCTGAAATATAAGTATTGACTTTCAAAAACCCAGTATCAAATTAACAAAATAACCCCTGCTCATATACTAATATAAATCAATGAAATAAAGCGATTCAGTGTTGTTTTAATCACCTTGACGGGGAATTTGAGCTGGTTGTACACTTCAGACATCAAGAGATTATGGCTCAGAGTCTTCCTCATCTTCATGATCCGCACGATGGCGGCGTCGATCTGATACTGACGATCCTGAAACACCCTTTCCGTGGTACTGGCTTGCTCCTCCACCTGTGAGGAAAACAACTAGTTAAGATAAATCACCAAAACCTTTAAGTGAGGAAACTACTGCAAGATATTATCATACCGTCTCTTTCATCTGGATCTGGTTTATTTTGATCCTGAAGAGCTTGTGTTTGAAGTCATCATTGCAAGAAAACTTGTCCCCGTCCTCCACGTCTTTGCTTTTGGGGATTTTGGTGAGGACGCGTGCTTTTCCACAAGCTAGTGACTGCAGAGTCCTGCGCAGTTCACTGTCTTCTGTAAACAAAACAGACACAAACACTGTTTTTAGATCAGTGGTGCTGCTTAATGAGTGCTTGACAACCAAACTTTGATGTGATCACACAAACCTATTCCTGTCGCCAGTTTGATCTCCTCCAAGGTGAACTCCTCTCCTTCGTTGAACATCAGCAGCACGAGTGTTTGGAAGAGCGACACCTGCAGCTCCTTCTTGCCCTTTTGTAAGAATAATCAAAGAACACAATTAACATGATGCTGTATTCAGTGGAAACACACCAGAGCATTCTCTTATTAGTCATCTACCTCTTTAAATTCAGCTTTTAAGACACAATGGCCGAGTGTTGATTGCCACTGCAGCTTCCTGCCGCTGTGTTTGCCCAGGTAGAAGGTCTTGAAGATCTCCTGCAGTCGCACCATCTGAACGAGGATAACGGAGGCGTTACAAAGCAACACTCGGTACATTTATTGCATGGCAGGTTATAAAAACAGCACATTTTTCTCTGTTTGCACAGCACTAACCTCAGAAGGCAGGTGCACTTCCATCGGGACATAGGTCGGCCAGTAGCCCATCGTCAGGATGTTCACTGTCAGCTCAATGTTGCCGGGAATGTTTTGGCACTGCATATACTACAGAAACACAAATGACACACATGTGATATCCACCTGCCATACTTAATGATTCTGCGTTTTTAGTCAGCAGCCTTCTGTTTCTGGATCCCTACTGTGTCAACACAGAGGGCACACTGAAATGAACGAGGGAGCTGCATTGTTCACGTAGCGCTTCCTGTCTGTGTGAAAACTAAACTGCCGTACACATCACCTCATTGCATCAAATACAACGTTCACAAGCACACTCTTATAGATTTAACCGACTATTTTTGTGCTGACCTGTTTGAACTGCACCATGATGTCTTTAGAAAGCTCCATGTCCTTGAACATCCCCTCCAGTTTGCTGGTGAACGCTGCTCCACATTCTGAGGAAACACCAAAAGGTCACAAGTCAATGTGTATTCAGGGTTAGGGGTGTCCCAATATACTGCTGTTGGCAATAAGAAATCAAATATTGATATCATGTTAATAATACACACAATAATATTGTTGTTGTGAATTCGTGTGGCCAGGGTAATACAAATCAGATATCGTGACAGCCCAAATTCAGGGTGAGGATTCCCTTTCTGTGATGTACTTCAGTGTTTTTGTAAAGAAGTGACTCTCAGGATTAAACTCACCATGTTTCAGCTTTGACAACATCGATTTTTCAGCATCCACAGAGGCGCTTTTTCCAACCAGCAACCTCTTGGCCAGATCCTTTTTGTAAAAGGCCTCAAAAACATCTTTTCCTAAAATGACAACACATTATTATATTAAGAACAGAGAGGGGGGAGGGGCTCCTAAACTGAAAGTAGTGAGATAGCAGATATTATTACCATAGATGAATCTAAAGATGATCATGATCTTATCCAGCATCTTCTCCAGCTCTTCGTCTGTTGCTTCTTTGTTTCCTGCCCGTAGCTTTGAATCCACGTGTTTTGCTGTAAATAAAAGCACATTTATGTCACATTAAGGTTAGATGCTGTTGTATATTTGCTGACGGTGCAGCAGTTATGAATGGGGG